GTCTTGGTCTTGGTCTTGGTCTTGGTCTTGGTCTTGGTCTTGGTCTTTTGTTTTGGTCTTGGTCTTGGTTTTGGTCTTGGTCTTGTTCTTGGTCTCGGCCTCGGTCTTGGTCTTGGCCTTGGCTTTGACCTTGGTCTTGGTACTGGTCTTGGTCTTGGTCTTAGTCTTTGTCTTGGTTTTGGTCTCAGTCTTTGTTGTTATTATTATTTATGTACGCCTCTTTCTTTGTCCTTGTCTTTGTCTTTCTATTTCTCTCTTTTCATTCCCTTTCCCCAGTGGGGTTACAAGTTTAACGCAGCCGTAGCATTTGTTCAAATTTCCACAAAAATTTGCACAATGGGTTAAAACTTCCTCGAAGCCGCTAAAGAAATTTCGACTTTCTTATTTTTTTAAAGATTGAAATGTGTAAGTATTCTGCTGAAATCCTCTGAATATTATTCTTATAAGTTGTTTAAATTTATTTAAAGATTTAAGTTTTGAACCCAGTTTTTATTCTAGTAAGTATAAAGCAACTTCATGCATTTCATAAACATTTTCGTCCAAATAGCTCACTCATGTTGCTTCAACAATGTTGCTGCAACCCCTTGCATACAAGTATACACTCAATTTAAAGGAGATGTTGAACAAACCCTCTTTTCCTAGTTTCCCCCACAAGACCAGCTTTTCCTCAGCAACATACTCGAAATCATCCTTTGGGGGGTGGCGGTTCGTACGACAGCCGGCACGATTCGGCAATGATGCGCTACGGTATTTTAAAATTGTAATAACTTGTCGTGTAACTGTGGTGAATTTCCACTTGTATGCACTCAAATGCCAGCGAAGAATCAGTTGCTTTGCCAAGCATTGGCATTTGAGCCAAAATTACCGTTAGTTTCTTGGTGAACGCCGTTGAATGTAGTTTAGCGTTGGAAAGCAAGGTGCGCGCGTTTGTGTGCTATACATTTAACTAATACATAGTAAATCGCTAAAACTATTTGATTTCAATTAATGGCATTTTAAATTAAAAAAATTGAAAAATAAAGAAAGTGAAAAAAAAATTTAATAAAAGTGAGTTATGTGAAGAAAGTGAAAGATTGGTAAAGTGGTGTAGGTGAAAGGTTTGAGCAGTGGCTGCGCTGTGCTGAAGTGTAAGTTATCCTGGGATCTTTTTTTAAGAAATGAAAAACAAGTTTTAACGAAATGGCATTCAATTGTTGTGGTTAATATTGTTTTTATAGTTATTTGAAAAATATGAAAATAAATAAATAAAAACTCATACACAGGCACTTTAAACTACTACCGCACCCATTTTCGATGTTTCCGAACCAGTTCATTTCGTCACTTTAGATATAGATTTCAAGTGAAAAAACTAAAAAAAAAAAAATAGTTTTTGAAAGTACCACTTTTCGCCAATTTCGGACCGGTGGGGACCTAGTTACTAACGGACTAGTTCGTTTTTGGCGATAAAGACCTAGTACGGAACTAGGAATTTGATTCACTAGTCCGCGGTTTCCCCGCAGAGTAGCCACATGCCGTCACATACGCGCACACACACACAAACGCAAATATTCCGGCATACATAGTATTTAATACCTATACGCAAACTCACATATTTACAAACAAAAAAACATAAAGTCACACCCACCTCCTTTCCGCTACACGCTGACTGCCACTTGGCGTCTCAAGCCGTTACGTCTGGTCACTGTGTGGCGTATGTCGGGCCCTGCAGCGTCTAGTCGCGTGCCCTTGTGTCGCGTCGCTTCGCATTGCCGTCGCTGCTGCTGCTGCTGCTGCTGCTGCTGAAGCATTCATCCTGCCACGACAACCCAGTGCTGGCCCACTCAAATGCAGTGATAGTCTGAGCGTGGGATGCCTTACATTTATTTTTGTTTTCGTTTTTGCTCCCCACTGTCAGTTTTGTTATTTCATTTACTTCTTAAATGTAGAAAGTGCAAATGGCTGTGGAGGTGCAAAGAGTTGGCTGGTCGCCGACAACACGTCGACACAAAGTCTACAGCGCCAGTAAGTACGTGACAAGCTTGGTGCGGCGCGCCCAAGTGCACGGGAAGTGAAAGCCGGAAAACGGAAGTGTAGTGAAAGTGTATTTTGTTTACATACATACACGCGCGTATACACACGAAAATTTGCATAAATATGAGCTATGTTTAGCGCGAAAGTAACAAAATAAATACTCATCTTTGATGAGGGCGCGCCACATTACCTTCCATTTACACAATTTTTTTTTACCAACTTTTCTAGCATACGCGCAGGAACAACTAAGCAAAAAAACTAAGCAAGAAAGTGCAAAAAAGGAGCGTACACGAAATCAGGAAAGCAAGTGGAAAGAAATCCTGCAAAAGAATTTACAATTTTCTATGCTTCCACAGAACAAAAATAAAAGCGTGCGAAAAAGTTTCAAACGGTTTACTCCAACATCGCAGCGCTAAATAAGTGTGCGCGAAGAAATAAAAATAAAAATTACAAACAGGATAAAAAGGAGCTAAAAATTAAAATCTAATTTGAAAAAGAAAGGCGTCCTCGAACCCAACTTACTGTTTGACAGAAGCAGTGAAAACGTAAGCGGTAGTGTAAAATGAAACTGTCACAAGAACTCTTTTCACAATTTTTGCTGCTCTGCTTTGCTGCTAAAAGCAGAAAATGGATTAAAAGCGGATTTTGGTCTCTCGAAAGTTGTCACGACGTCAAAGCTTAGATTGTAGCAGATTCGTTTTTCGACTTTTGGAAGTGTAAGTTACATTTGTTGGAAGTAAATATATTTTGGGCAAAATTTAGTTTTTAGCTGCTATCTTAGTTGAGCCACATTACGAAAAACACAATTTTTTTCATTTCAGGCTAGTTACATGGAATATAAAACTCGACTTGCGAGGGTCGGCGAGTTTTGGTACATCGCACAGTGGCCAGAGAGGCCATGTTCTATATGAAAAATTAGGACTATTACGTTTTTTTAATAAAACTGTAGGTTCATAGTATTATTGTCATGCTAAATCCAAATATGTCATCAACGGAAATTACACACGGAAATGGTGCAACGGAAATGGTTGGGGCGGAAACAAGTGATTCTTGAGTGTATGCATATCGATTTAACAAAAACTTTCTAATAAAAGATTAAAGAATAACACTTAGAAAAAGACCAATACAAGAATGAAAGTAAAGGTGAGTATGTACATAGATAAAGAAAGGTAAAAATTAAAACAAAACCAAAGATGCGTAAAGATAAAGGCAAAAATGAAGTCCAAGGGAAATTTAAACACTTTACTTATATACAAATATAAGGGCAAAGGTGAAGGGGAATATGTAGATGAAGAAAATGATAAACATAAAAGTAAAGACAACGAGGAGGATGAGGATACCGATAAAAGTAAAGACGAAGATAGGGGAAGAAAGATTAAAATAAAGGCAATTAAAGAGGAAAGGATATAGAGAGAGACACAGAGACTCAATCAGGGAACTATTTTGGCATTTTAGAGATTTTCGGGATTCTTGAGACTTATCGATAAAATAATCGATATATTTATCAGTTTCGTTATCGATATTTTTATCGATTTTGTTATCCAAATTTTAATCGAATTGTTATCAATTTCACTATCGATATTTCGGAACTTATCGATATAATAATCGATATTTTTATCTATTTTGTTATCGATATTTTTATCGATTCTGTAATCGATATTTTTAACTATTTCGTTAGTGATATTTTTTATCGATTTTGTTATCGATATTTATCGTTTTTGGTATAGATATTAATCGATTTTGTTATCGATATCTATCGATTTTGTTATCGATATTTATCGATTTTGTTATCGATATTTACCGATTTTGTTATCGATGTTTATCGAATTTGTTATCGATATTTGTCTTTTTTTTCGATATTTATCGATTTTGTTATCGATTTTGTTATTGGTATTTATCGATTGGGTTATCGATGTGTATCGATTTCGTTGGCGATATTTATCGGTTCTTTTATCGATTTTCTAATCGATTTTGCTACCAGTGGTATTATCGATGTTGCTATTGGAATTTTTATCGAATTTGTCATCGATTTTGCTATCGCTATTTCTATCGGTTTTGCAATCGATATTTTGTTGGACGATATTATCGATTTTGTTATCGATAGAGTATAAAGATAAAAATGAAGACAATGGAAAAACTGAATAACATGATTGTTATTAAAACGAACAGGGGTAGAGGTAGGGATCTACATCACTGATAGGCACTGTCTTGCGCGCGGGCAAAGCTCTTTTGAGCTTCCTATACATTTTGTATAGGCGCGTGCAGAGTAAAAGCTCTGCTCATCGCTGATCTACATAGATAAAAAAAAGAGAAAAAATATAACCTTTAGCAAAAGCAGATGTGTGTATGTATACATTGGTTATGAGACAAAATAGATAAGCAACGTATGTTTCACTTCTCCAGTGTGGCCCAGGCGCACTTACTTTTTTTTATTTGGGAATGTTTTCGATATATGGATTTATGTTTAAAGCGGGCCATGTAAGAGTTTTTTTCCAGTCCGGAAAAATAAAAAAGTCCCTTTTTATTAACGATTTATATGTAAAAATCCTTGATCTTTCGATTAAAATTACTAAAAAGAAAATTAAAAATTACCATAATTGAGAATGTTTTAAATAATTTTTCGATCCAATTCTCACCATCGCTGGGTCACGTCTAGGAATCGAGATATATATATAACTATCATATAGGGGAAATTGTCACCTTTGGTGGTCTTTTTTTGACATAACTCGAGAACCACTAGTCCGATTTTGCTCAAACAAATTTAAAAAAATTAAAAATTATAATTCCTTTAATCTCTTCATATAAACAAAATATAAAATTTTTTTAAAACTGTTGATTATATAGAAAAACGTTATATGAACATATTAAACAAATTTCCAGCTTGTTTTACACCACTAAAAAAATACAGTATGGGAATAGTTCCACCGCCTATGTGGCTGTTTTTTAAGGTCGACGGTGAAAGTCCTTACTTTTTATATATTTCCAAGCCTTGTCGAGGGAAAACAATAGCTGAAAGCTTTAAACTTTAAGGGCGTTCATTAAAAGCTGTCTGGAAAGAAACAAGTAAATCGATTAACTGAATCTCACTCATTTCTAAGGTATATGACCTACCAGCAGTAACTACCGAAAACTAAAACGTTTCTGGCAGTCACAATCCATTTCAAACGCAATGCATTTCCACAATTCACCTCTTGCAATTCAGCCAAAATGCAGCATTTCCTTTTGTTTACTTGGAGCGATAAAGCTAACACTTTTTCACTTTTCCATTCTTCCTCGCTGCCATACGGATATCGTCAATTTTTATGACTTCCTGATCCGGCAGTCGGTTGTAGTACGCAACAAATTCTTCGACTTTGTGACTGCAACGCTGCCGAATGCCATATTTACCATGGCTTGTAGTCAAATGTAGTGCTGATTTGAAATTTGTAAGCAGCAAGGACGACCTACAACCGTAGGTTTTGTCGACCAACTTCGGCAGCAGCAGCGGCGGCATTGCTGTCGAGTAAAAGAGCTCCAATGCCAGCCATCCGACCAGCCATCCGACCAGCCATCCGACCAGCCATCCGACCAGTCATCCGGCCAGCCATCCGACCAGCCAGCCAGCCAGCCAGCTAGCTAGCCAGGCAGCAACACGAACATTTAATTGAAAAAGTTTACACTTTAGCAAATGATTTTATTAGCAAACATTTGTAATTTTCAATGCGGACGTTGTAACGGTGACATGTCGCAAACACAAACGTGTACAAACCAAATGCATTTGCAATACAAGCCTGTGCCGAGTTTATATGTTGTATGCATTTATTTTTTATTTGGAGGTATTATTGCTGTGCTTCACAACAACTTTTAGTAAATTTTTTGACGGTACTACTAATGCGCCGACTAAAGGCTAGCGCCCTAACCGCGGCAACGCATTCCTCCCAGTTTAGCGTGAACTTTTTTTTTTTGTTTTTATTTTTTACGCGCCTTTGCTTGGCTCCAGTTTTGTTTTGGGTTTACTTTTGCTCTGATTTGCCTTTCGCGGTTTTATTTGTTCTATTTACTTAGCAATTCAAAATTTCGAAACTTTTTACCTCACAAAACGAATTAAAACTTGTTTAGCTAAGTGTGCACTGGCGTTGGGTAGCACTTAAAATTTTCGGTTGTTGCTCAATCGCTAGCCGCTTGCCGTAGACTTATTCACCTTTCTCAAGTTGTTTTGAGATTTCTCTGAGCGCTGGCGGCGTGAAACTAAAAGTTTTGCGTGGTCATTTGGGATGTGGACGGAAGCTCTGCGCCTCTTCGTCCTAATTAGCATGCAATGAGTTGGATGAGCGCAAGATTGGGGCAAGCAAACAAAAAAGTTTAACTTTGAGTGTGCTCGCTGGAAGAGTTTAATTTTTATTAATTGTTGTGTTCTTGCGGAAATTGCGTTTCCAAAAAGCGGAAATTGTGGAAATGGATGAGGAATTTTAGTGACTGGAAAAATACGTGGGCAAGCAGGATATAAAAACTTGAGTCGATTTTGGAATTTAATTGCAGAAAAAATATATTTTTATTCATGAATATTTCCAAGCCTACGCACGTACTTACGTAGGTATTTCTCAAAGTAGGGTGCCTTCGTCCCACGCAGACTCATTGATTTTATTTTCTACACTCGTTCGAATTAAAATGGAATTTACCTTTTTATTAAATGGCGAACAGTTTTTGAAATATTTCAATGTTAATATATTTCGCTGTCATGTGGCAACCCTATTTATATATTTTAAAATGGCTTGGGACCATTAATTATAATATTGTATTTTGAATAATTCACTCAGAAAATTGCTTAGGTAATTAACCAAAAATAGGCGGGTGACAACCTTTTTAAAAAGATAACTGGATTAAGTGTGCTTCAAATACTTTAGATTTGATGCCGACATCAAATATTATATCAAACTCACGTATTTAATTTATTTTAATTTTTAAATTTTTATTTTTTATTTTCAAAATTGACAATATTTGCACAGTTTCACAAATTCCATACCCGCAATTATGAAAGAAAAACTTGAAACATTTTTGCGACTGGCAGTTCTCCACATTTAAACGCTTAAAAAGGCTTAGAAGGATTTCACTGTACTCTGCAATAAATATTAATTTTTTAGGCAGGCGGCAACTCTGGAATAACCGCTCACCTGCACAATTTGTGGTGGAACTCCGTACCTGGCGCCCACGTGGCCATTAGTTCAGTATCCTGTTAATATTCCAACATATCCGTTGCATATAACTCGTCCTGGAATAGTTTGGCGGTATGTAGGACTCTCTTATAGACGGTTTGTAAGAGAAGACGCCAGATTGTTCTGTTCCAAGTAACTTCTTTCGTTAAAGTGAATTTCGAAGTTTATCTTCCATGATTCGTACTCCATACCCACTGTGTCCAGTATGGAAGCATGGTCTGCCGGCAGCCTCATCGACCGCCCAAGTCTCTGATAGCTCAGAACTGCAGCGATTTCAGAACTAAGATAGTCCAAAACTCTTTTTCTTTTTACTTAATAATTCGTCTAAATTTAATCGTACTTCAACTGCTTTCTTTTGATTAGAATATGGAAATTTCATAAAGTTTTTCTATTTTATTTTTTTTTCTCACAGGAGGCAACCTTATCTAAATACACGCGTGTTTCTAAAAAAATTCCATTCACCATTTTAAATTTTTTTTTTTGGTAGTTATTCCAAAAACCATCTTTCTACTATGCTTGTTTAGTCGAAAAAAAATTATCATTTAGAAAAGGGCGATTCTACTTGGATTTGCGTTTGGATTAAATTGTTTTATTATTTTTTAGGCAGGTGGAAACCTTAGCAAACTTTTTTTGACTTTATGTTTATAACTTATAGATTAAGAATTTAGTTTCCTTTACTCTTTACTTTAAAAACGTTTTACTATTTTTATACGTTATATTTAATTTTTAATATTTTTGCTGGGTGGCAACCCTATTCACAAAAAGCTATAGTTATTGAGCTTTTTCAGAACAATTTTATTTAGCAGGGATAGTCAAAAACTTTATCTCAATTAATTTTAATTTTTCAGTTAAATGGCAACTC